TATTTGAAACAGCTACTTACAAAATAATAGTATTAGAAGCTCTGACGAGTCAAACACGTTGACCAATAAACTAGCTTACAGCTTATTTGATTAGCTTATAAGCTCCCTGTATTTAAATAAGCTTTGTTTGGTAGGACGAACTTATTTAAAAAGCTCGAACTTATTTGAAAAGCTACCAAATTGAAATTTTTATTTCAACTAGTTTATCAGCTAATTTATCAAACACTTTTATCATATAAGTTTGGTTTTCAGCTATAAGTTATAAGCTATAAGCTATGAGCTCGAAAATTACTAAGCTATAAACTAGTTTATCAGTTATTAGCTAGTTTTACAAAACATAGCCCTAATCCACTCTCAAACTTCTAATTTGATCTCAAAACGCTAATTACCAAAAGAAAGACCAATAATTCGAAAATTTTGGCGATACATTATGTAAAGAACAATTAGCAAATGAAGTGAAAAAAACAACACAAGTGCTGGGTGATTAAAATACTTTTGCAATTCTAAGATTCTTGCATCTGTGTTGTTCTCTAAAGCACGGAGGAAGAAGCGGTATATATGTCCTTACGACGGATTAATTTCCTAAAATGTGGTGTTAAACTTAAGCTTACCTTTACGTTATTATGCTTTTCAAAAAGTGCACAAATCAACCTAACAAAGAATACGTGTAGAAAATCAAATGGAAATAAGTATATGACATAAATCCCAGGTAGAATCTGTGTCCTGATCACATGCATGGAGATAAAGTTTAATAGTGACTTATCATAAAAGGGTCTTCCACAACAAACGGCAGAAATACGGTAAAGAAAAGAAAGGGGAAAGTTATTATTATAATTATTATTATTATTATTATTTGTATATTTATTTTTTATTTTGTTTTTGCTTAATCACTAATAACAAAGAGTTTTATGTGTTTAACAAAATTTAGATTCTGATTTGCAAAATGCATATAAGAGGGGTTTTTAGCACACACATCTCTGCTTGAAGAGAGATATTAGAGTATATTAGAGAAGTAAAACTAGTCGACAGTCAAAAATCGCACAAGTATTTCGGTTAGGCAACCTAACTATTAGACAATCCCTCCTAATTTTTGAACAAAAATGTATTTATACGATGAAATATCATATTTTTGTTTGTGTTGTTTTTCAAGTATAACATATAAATACAAATATATAATTATAATATATATGTATACACACACATTGAAAAGTATGATTGTCTAATGGTTAGACCTGCGATGCAAAAGTTGATAGTGCTAGTTCATAAAGTTAAAAAAGCTAAGAAAACCTAATTAAATTGATGGGAAAGATATACTCCAAAATAAGTTTTCAAATGGTAAGGAAAAATAACATCCATATGACCTATATTCACATACTAATATTGAATTTTCCAACAATTAAACTAAAATACAAATTAAACAGTTAATATTAGTTAATATTGATATCACAGTTCCCAAACCCATTATCTATGTTCCCTTTCCCACATATTGCCCTCAATTCAACCAAAAGAAAATTACTCGATCCACATAATAAGTTGTTTATACTTTGAATCCATTATATATTCACAGAAATTCTATGGAGCCATCGGATGGTTTTTTATGGAGCCATTCATCACTTAATGTATTGACACATGTCCAAAATGTATTTATTGTAGGACACGTGTCAATACACTATTTGTGAATAAGGATGGATGTATAACTCGTGCCATGGCGATGGCTCCATAGCAAAAATTGTATATATTCATTTGCTCTGAATGCAAATTTAAATAAAAACCATAGGTTTGCAACTAAGCCAAAGGGGATACAATTCCTTGTAGCTCAACATTATAAATTAACTTTTCTTCACCATTTTATACACTCTTTGATCCATGTTTTTCTGTTTTTTTATTTTTATTTTATATTTTTTTGGTTGTTTACAGTTTTCAAATCGAGACCTTATCATTATTCAGTGCAATGGCAAGCTGTTTATTCACCCA